CACATTTGAAGTCCATATGTAGCTCTAGGCCAGAGAGGGATGCCAAAAAGCTCCCAAAATAAAGAAGCCCCTGGGTATTGTGACAGGAGATATTTTAAAAGATGTGATAATGTTTTGCTTTGATTTTTTTTTTTTTCTCAGATGCAACCAATGAGTGGCTTACTTGGCTAGCTCTGTGTCAAAATAATGGGAAATGATGGAAGTGCACAATGTGAAGGGAGGGAGAGGAAACAGGCTGCCATTGCTTCAAACACATACACTTGTGCTGTGGGAGCCATTGCCAGCCAAAAATAAGCCGCGAGCTCTTTCCCACCCACATAGCTCGAGCTTTGTGAAGCTGAGGAGACTGTCATGTGGTGGCAAAGGCCAGATTATCATAATGTGGGTGAGATGTTTCTGCCCAAAAATACTCTCCCACCTGTTGTGTTCTGAAGCTTCTTATTTGTACCTGCAGAGCAGTAATCTGCACCTATGGAGAGTGAAGTGTCCAAGAGCTGTTTGTGTGGGGCACCCACAGTTTGTCTGTGGGCAGAAATGCTCTCTCTGTAGGTGGAAACTGGTGTTTTTTCAAGTACATGTTATTTTGTTTCTCCTCTTCCTCCTCCCCCAAGAGTGACATCTACCTCTGCATTTTTTCCCTTAGTGTAGGATGTGTGGGACCATACTTCTTTTACAGTTCTCTTGTATGTTGGCTTACCAAATCCTCAGCTTGCACAAACTGGCATAATTTTACTGAAACTGTTGACTCCAAAACCAGCAGGGAATCTGAATTCATTAGGTAGCAGACCATGATCCACATGAACTTCTGGAACAATCTCCTGCTATTGTTTTGGGGATGTACAGAGATATTCCTGGAGAGTCTGCAAAGATTTCTTTTAAGATTTGCTGTAGGCCACAGCTGGCTGTTTTCTATAAAGTCATGTCTTTTTTTTTTCTCCTGCTATCTCCTACAGTTATATCCTGAATATCTCTCCAAGTTCTTTAGTTTTGCTGTCCCTCTAGCAGTTTGTGGCCTCCCTGAAGCATGTTCACTGTCCCTGTCTGTGGGAGAGCCTAATTTCCTCATGTCTCTGTCTGCTAACCAGCAGCATATTGATACTGAGTGAACTGGATGGCATTTAAATGTAAATCTATTGTCATGAACTCGAGGCTTACTATGGCTCATTATTTTGAGGCAAGCAGAGTAATTAGCACAGGGTGTGCTCTGTGATAATTAGGAATGTTTTACACATCAGATGGTGATGTTGACTTTTGAGGGCAACCACCTGGACTCAACTCTCACTAGCTAAAACAAATATTTTTGTATTTCTTTTTGTTTCAATGTTTCAAAATGCCTGTAGTAAAATACTTTAACTGTTTAATCACTAAATAATAGATCCATGCAATCAGTTAGCTGAACAGTATGATTAGTTGGACAAATTGCTGGTACCCAGAGGTGACACCATAGCTGAGATATGCAGTTTATGTGTATTGTCATTTCTCTTGAGTGCAAGGTGGAACTTCCACTATCTTGAAAGCTAGGCTGTTGCTTTCCAGCTCTCCCTCCTTTTTACCTGACCTGGTATTTGAACCTTCTGAACACTGGTATCATAGATTTGTGCTATCTGGTCCATTTTTGACATTTTTTTCATTATAAAGAGTAGTGTGACATTCCTAGTGAAAAAAAAAAAAAAAAGATTATTAAAAAAACACTCACAAAAAACCCCACCAAACAAAACTCAACCCAGACATTTATATTATCAGGTCTCATTATAATCTCTTTGTGAACTTGTTAGATTAAAGCAGATTTGTTAAAACATCAAAAATTTTAGGGCTATGTTGAGCATGTAAATACCCTTTAGGTGCAGACATCAGGAGAAGTTAATCATTATGCTTCTGCTGCCTCTTTTTCAGTTTGTACTCTTAAAATAATGTGGGAGAAATGCAGTGCAGTGGAAAGTTTAATTTTTTAAAATTAAATCTTGATAGGTTTCTGCTTGTATTCTAAGTTCATCTCTGCTTCTATGTGTTACCATGTAATTTCTGACTAATTTTCAAAATATTAGTGATTTGGGGAGGGTGAGGGAGGAGGAAGAGGCACTATATTGTGAAAAAGAACCTCTTAAATTAAAAAAAAATTGCAAGTAGTGCATTTCAAGGGGATGAAATAATCTATTTTAAGCTAGGAAAGAACTTGTAGACTCTGTATCTATGGAATAATATTAGATAAATTTAAATGTGTTAACTGTGTGGTGCCATTACAAATGCTTTTTTTGGCTGAAAAGGATCAGTGATTTCTTGTAAAATAAAGATTTTATTTTACAAGATTACACCGGATTATTTCAGCTAGCTCTGGTTGGGCTCTTTGGAATGTGGTTGAAGTTTCTGGCACTTGCACTTAAGGAGGACGTATGGGAAGAAAAAAAACAACTAAAGTTCAAACAAAATTACACAAACCTAAATAAAAGAGAAGGCAAGATGTAAAAATTATTCTGTAATGGGTGTGACCATTCAAATGCTTGGAAAAATAATTGGTTACCATTGTAACTGTGGCGAGGAACAAAGATATATGTTAATAGGGAAAAAAAAGTGGTTGGCAAGAAAAACAGGTATTTACATGAGGTACAAGTCAGGATTGCAGGAGCATTCTTTTTTTTTTATTATTTTCCCAGAAGACATGGTTGGAGTCTAAAATTGTCTCTATACTGCTTCTATTTCAACTATAAATGACTTCTGTATTTAACTCTTTAACTTACTGTGTCACTTCACCATCTGTAAAGCAAGAGATGTTAATGCTGTGGTGTCAGCTGTGCCAAAAAGCAAGTCTATCATATTCATACTGCCATGGTCCTGAATATCACAGACTATTTCTATCATAGAAATTCTTTGACTTGTGGTTTTAGAGGTACAACCAAGTGTGTTTCTGTACTTGCTAAGCAGAAGTTGTAGAATTGATACAGAAGCTGTTGGGTTGGATGTTTTAAATCATCTTATGCCAGAAGCCAGGGAGAAAAAAAGAGCTTAGAGGTAATATAAAATCCCAACAACTCCAAACCTCATAACAAGCCCTTAGTTCCATCTCTGCCGTATTCAAGCACGGTGATGGACACACTGGGGAGCAGCAACTGATCTCTCATGGATGGGAAGTGCATTCCCTCTCCTCTTCCTCCACTGCGGTAAAAGCAGTGCTCCTATTATGTCAAGGTCCATTGCATTTACTGCAACTTTGATATGCTTGACCTAAAAATATTGCTGTGAGTGAATTATTTACAATGACAATGAGGAGCAATTTTCTAGAATGTTTCTGTAGCCCGTGGGCATCGTACTGAGTACAGATGTATGTTATTAACAAAACCCATGAAAATTACCATGAAACCTTTCCACAGTATATCACAGTTATCGTCGCCAAATTGGGATTGTTCTGTGGCTTTAGAGCATAGGGAAACATATGTGCAAGCCAACATTTCTTGTGGGGAGTGGAATAATGGAATTGTTTTCCAGTGAATATTAAGTAACTAGTCTGTAGAAGTTGATTTCAGGTTGTATGAAGTACTACGTGTCTGTGCACTAAGGAGACGTTTTTCCATTTCTATACAAAAACACAGTGTAACTAAAATCACTGATAAATTCCCATGCTAGGCACCATTAAAAAGTCATTCTTCTCTTCAGAAACCAGTAAAAACTTGCAGTCAAGGTGGAAATATTTCATATTTGCAATCTTGCTATCTGTGCCTAGGTCAATGCTGGCTGAGGTTTCTGCACCCTGACTTAGTGGGGTATGAATAATTCTTCTTCCATTAGTAAGTATATGGAACAAAATGATGACTGAAATCAGGAGAGATGTGTGTTTTGAGGGAAAGCACTGCCTTAAAAAAGGATGTAACATTATCTTTTTCTTGCAGTGGAGTCTGTCCCTCCTCAATGCTAATCATTTAGGCATTATCAGTTAGCAGAGAAAATATATATACAGAAACCACTCATGTTCCAGGATATTAGCTCTTCCCAGTGTTGAGAAATTCCAGATTCTTCTGTTTCAATAAGTATTTTCTCTGTTAAAGGCACATAACACATCTACAACAAGCATTAATAAGTGTTTTGCAAAATGAAGAGCTGGTTTTTAAGTTTCAGTAAAGAACTTTGTTTTGTAGCAAAAAACATCCTAGCTACAAATTCATTTGAAATTTTCTCTTTCAAGACAGAATGTATACCTCTGAGTCTTTTAATATGATCTTTATCTGCCTGCAATATGTAAGTCTGTAGTAATTCAAATTCCCATTTTTGTAGAAATGGGTAAACATAAAGATACAGGCTTATCTGTGAACAGCATTGCTGAGAAATCATTTATCCATAGCAACTCTTCCTTTTAATACTTTACTCCTCTGTCTCTGACCAGGATAGTATCCAGTGAGCAACAGAGCATGTGGGTTCTTCTCCAGTAAATATTGGAATGAAAAAAGATAATCTTCCCAAATACCACTTTTAAATAATGTCCAAATAATTTCAGGATTTATATTGCTATTGTGGTTATGTTTTCTGAGTCTATAAATGTTAGTTTCACATGTGACAGAGGACTGATCTCTTTCATGATTGAACTGCTGAAATGCATTCCTACTATTTAATTAGACTGATAACAGTTCTAGAAGTGGCTGTAGATGTATTGTCCTGTGATAGCCTTGACACTTTTCTGTTCAGTTCCTACACAGAGAAGCACGGATAGACCAAGCAAGCTTAGTACACAAGAGTACTTGTGTGACTAATGTGCTGAGTAAACTTTGTAAATAGTCCCACTAAAGTACTGTTTATAAACATTCCCATAATGAGAAGAATGATATGAGTGATATGATGATATGCTGTGAGTTTTCCTGATTTTGTAAGCAATTTCTGCTGCAGAGTATTTGAGTCTAAAGGTAGAACTTACCTTGGATGATTGTGTGAAGTGAGAAATGTAGACTGGTTCTTTTGTGTGTCTGACCAGGTTAAAAAAGGTTGCAAAGAAATAAGGACACAGTTGTGAGCTTATTTACACTTTATTTTCTTATTGCAAAACTCAGAGCGTGACATAGGTACTCCGTTTACAGTAACTTTAAAATTTAACCACTTTTCCATTATTATTTCTAGATCTACATTTCTTTGTCATCTTTCAGATCCCTAAAAATAGCCAATGCAATAGTATTTTTGTTTTTAAAATCAGTTTAATGTAAAATTAATTCATATTTTTTGATGTAAGATTTTTATTCATAACTGTTAAATCCCATTTGTTCCCAGTTGTATTGTCATAAGTATAGACTAAACTTTTGAACTCTTCAACATTGCCTAGTTAAATGGCAATTAAATATTCTTTCCTCTTATATCAGAATCCTTAGGAGTGGATATACAGAGCTTCCTATCCTGTCATTTTTTCTGCATACATACTAAATAAGAATTTTCACATTTTCAATGGTACTGAACCCTGTGAGAACAATACTCCAGAAAAAGGCAGCAAGTTTTTTTTCCTAGTCAGCTAAGTTAAACACACTCAAAACCAAGCAAGCAAAAAGTGGATACCCCCAGCTATTTTTCTGACCAGAGAACTGTAGCTTATAAGTGTTTGCTTCTCACTATTGCCTTCAGAGCTGCTGCTCCTCTTAACAGCAACTGTACAATGTGGGGCCACAGTTGCATTCATTGTTCAGTGAGCTTGTCCACATAGTTAAACCCACCGACAGCAATGAATGTTGATTGTGACCTTTTTTGTAAAGCTTGGCAGGGTGAGGGAGAAACATCATAAGATGGTTAGGTTGCTATCTTCGGTGTTAAGGCCTGAAAGCATGAAGTAAGGAGGAGGATGGTTAGCTGGAGGGTACAATCAACGGTCGATGGTTTTCACTTTAATTCCAAACTCACCGACAGCGTTGAATGTTCACTGAAGCAACCACTACAACAGAACTCCATTGACTTGACTGCGTCCTCAAATCTCTGAAAGTAGGGGGGGAAAATCAAAATTCACACAGTGATTTTAATTATACAGATGATGCAACTTGAATCATTTTTCTCTTACCGACACCAACACCCTTCTCTGCTGATCATGTTTCAGTCTTTCTGCAAGGAGCTGGCAGTTTCCCAGACTTCTTTCTATGAAAAGAAAATATGTTTCTCTTACTCAGGCTTTAAAAATAAAGGTTAGAGATCCAGGCATGAGTGGATTAATGTTGTCTGTTATTTCACAAGACTGAACTTCACAGAAAAACAAAACATGAGATCCCATAAATGAACAGAGCTGGCTAAGAGTTTTAAAAATTAGTGTTGACAATTAGAGATTGCTCAACTGAGAAAAATTTTTTCTATTGACGTGGTTCAATTGGATAAAAACTTGTTTAGGATTAATAAAAATAAATTTTCTTTAAAGAAGGCTTAATTTTTCAAAAAATATCTCAGAGACAGAAGGCCTTTTTTTCCTTACAAATTTTCACACATGCAGAACCTGTTGTGATAGTTTTCAGGAGGAAAAAAGGCGACTGTATGTCAAGGCTTGACCTATATTATTGTAATTTTTTTTTTTGTGTCATCATGTTGTGCACATCCAGCTGATCATCACACAGTGAAGTCCTTATTCTTAAAAACTTCCACAGTAACACAGTAGTTTTTCCTAATCTTCTGAGCTTTCCAACTCAATTGTCCTGATTATTATGAAAAATAAATAATACTTAAAAATTTAGGTTGTAGGTTTTGTGTTGCAGAAGAATTTTAGAAGCCAGATAAGAAGACAAAACATGGTAATCCAGAAATTTTACCTTATTTTCATTTGTGAGCAGAGTTCTTATGCAGGTGTTCTTGAAGCTCAGCTTGTCAGAATTCTTTTCTGCTAGGTCCAGTCTTAACTGTGCTGAAATTCCGTGACTGATTCATTGACTTACGTGAATTGCTGTTTGTTTGTTTACCTTATCCTGTGGATAAAGATGCTCTCTGTGTCTCCCATCCGTTGTTATTTATAAGGCTTTATAAATGTTTGGGTTTTGTCTGTACCTGTGTTAAGGGAACCCACACGTAAGAACTGGAGTTGATCAGTGTGCTGCCCCAGCCTATTTTGCAAACAACACTATGACAAGGACTTGGTCCTAACTGTTTCTTTCAATGAATTGCTCTGCGTGTAGAGGTATTTATTGCAATATTTGACTCAACTGTATTTTCCATCGAATACAGCTAAAAGAAAAAGTCATTAATATAGCCTACTGGAGAACTAGACCAGAACAGAATCAACTATTATGGTGGCTTAGACGTGTTTTGTTTATGAAGGCCACTTTGATTATGAATATAGCTAAATCAAATGCATTTTAATTAAATGTGGCAGCCCACCTTCCTTTCCCAATGCAGCAGCACAGGATATTTGCTGCCAATCCTTTAGCTGTGATTATTTTTAGTTCTCCATTTATTTGTACTGAAATTTCCAAGGTTTAATTCCATGGATGTTAGGAGAAGACCTCTGCACACTGGCATGAGTGATGAGAGAATAAGGCTCTCCAACTCAGTCTTACATGCATCTATTCAACTTTGTTCTAGCCAAATGAATTAACTTTATGATTAAGGGTTGCTCATATTTAAGATCTACCCTATTATAAGCTTGTTTTCTGTTATCCATTTCTTTCAGTACTCATTCCTATGCCCTTATTCCCTGCTTCCATCTGTCACTTCATATTTCAGTTGAGGGCTTGCCTGGTTGATATCTGGCAATTGGGATGGGGTGCAGGGGAAGGAGAGGAGCTGTGTAGAGCTGGTGGCTGGGTGGATTGCATCTTGGAAGGAATTACTTTGGCAGGTTGTTATTAATGCCTCCCCACCCCCCATAATGGAAATCCTCAGTATTTCCTTGGTCACCTAGCCTGTGAAATGGGCTGAAACTTCTAAGTAAAAAAGGTATTTCTGGATTCCAGCCCTGATTCCTGATGTGTGCAGGTTATGCAGGGTAAATATGCTTTCATCTTCTTTCATCTGGCTTTCATTTTTTTAAAATCCCTTATTGGGCTCAGCTAGCTGTTACAAATGCCAGCTTTATTTTAAATTTAATTTCAGATCTGCAGGCTTATGTGAACATTCAGATTGGATGTATTTTTTTTTTATTTAAGGTTAGTAGGTCATAAATAAACCAAAGCACTTTCCTTGCTTTGAGCAATAGGGCCATGATGTACATGAAATATCGCTTTAAAAAAACTGCAATCTAACGTGAATTGACAGAGGTACATGAGGAAGTAGTTCATCGTGTCACTGCAAAGGCCATGGGGATTTGGACTGCTGGAGCTGCCTGTCTTAGGAATAGATTAGATATCTTGTCTGATGACCTGTACTTAATTTAAGTGACTGCCTTTGCAAGTCCTTCCAGAGGGCAACTGTGTGAAGTAGAGCATCTCATCTTCAGTCTTCAGTCCTTTTCCTCCTCTTGATGGCCTGACCTAAATTGAAGATATGGTTGTTGTGCTTGCACAAATAGACAATTATTTCAATACTATGTGAGCTGCATCTTCAGTTCTAATTAATTACCTTTTCCATTTTGACCTTGCTATGTTGAATCAAAAGACCAACATTCCAACTTCACTGTAGTGGTTAATGCTGGGAAGCTGTTATACAATGCACTCATGTTAACAACTGCCTTATGTAAAATAGAGTCAAAAGCTCCCTCTCCCAGTTTAGAAAAGCTGTCAAGTACTACTCTGCCCTGCTTATTGCCCCACCTTTTCCTTTCTTCCTCCTCTCTCAGCCACACAGATGAGATGAGATATGGAAGATGTCAGCCAGATCACAGTCTGGCTTGCAGGCCACTTCAAACAGCTGCCTTAGAACCATTACCACCTTTACTGCTAGTACAGCAGGGAAATTGCTTAGGAACAAATGCTTAGGTGAATACACAGAACTCAGCCTTGAGGCTCTTGTAGTTTTAGGTGCTTTTTCTAATGGTGCATTAAAACAATCTATGTGTACTGCTTAAAATACTATGTTAGCAAATTTATGAGGTAGATACTTCACGTGCTTTACAGTATCGTTTTTCTTTTGCTGACATGGAATTGTTTGTTAGTGGAAGGTGGAGTCAAAACTTTCTGGAGCCAAATATTCGTTTGTATAAAAGGAAGACAACGGAACTATGCTCATGCTGATACTGCAAAGTTATCTCATGGATGCAGTTGTTGGCTACTTCCACCTCCCACTTGCCCTCTCCCACAGTCTGTCAACAGACTTCCAGTTAAACACTTGGGGACAGGAAGAAATGCAGTGTGTGGATGTGTTTTTTTAATTGTCTTGCAAAAGTGAATTCCAGGGACAATGTCTAAAAATGGCAGAGGCACACTTGGGATCAGATTCTCAGCTAGAGTAAACTGACACAGCTCCATTGACGTCAGTGGCATCTGGGTTTACACCAGCTGACACCTGGATGCTCATCTGGAAAAAAGTGAATTAGAATGATCAGTTATTGGTTCATATATTTTCAATTTTTGTGTTGTGTTCATCATTTTTATTAAACCTTTCTAAAATGACAAACTTTCATGTTGTATTGACATTTTACTTTCAATAAATCAGCAGTAATACTAAATCCCAGTAAGTATTGACACTGCTGTGCTTCCACTGAAAGGAATTAAATCCAGTTGACTGTAGTTATTAGAAATTCAATTTGTTCTTAGATGACTTTGAGTTGTATGCTGAAAGTGAAGAATCTGTGCAGCTATCAACAGGACAAAATGAAAAGTATTTGTTTCTTCTGTGATCTAAAAATCTGCAAGAACAGAAGCAAATAACAATCACTGTAACCTAAGACTCTGACTGTGTTCTACAGACACTAACTGCAGTTGTTTCTGCAGTGTGCTGGAGTGTAGCATCAGCTCCTAATGCAGTATATCTAAGGCTAATGTTTTACAAGAAATCCAAACACACAATCACCATGTTTTCATGTTGCCTTAGACCTATGGAAACATCTCTGTTAACCTCTGTTGGAAAAAAAAGTTTGAGGGAGTATTTCACCATTTACTGGAGTACAGCCATCTCTGGGGAAGAGGAGCAGCTGTGTAACATCTTGAAGCGCTAGTGCATGCCAGCCTGAGACAGGAGCAAAAAGTTGTGATTGCCATGTTTAAATTCTGCATTCTACAAGGCTGCTTTTTTGTACATTCCTGGTTCTTGCTCATAGAATAAGAGGGTGGAAAAACAGAAAACACTTTCAGGCGAAATATTGTCCACAAAACTGGTTTTTAAACGAAATCAAACTTGTTTGACGTGCACAGCCATCACAGAATGATCTGAAGTTCACTGTCTTATCAGTGTTCTGGTGGCCTAGAAACTGTGACATCTCCAAACATGCTGCTTTGTGTGTTTGTAGGCTTTGACGAAGTTTTTGAGTAAGTTTTCTGTCCAAAAATTGACTTTGCTCTTGAAATGAAACCCATCAGCTAATATTACATGTTTACAACACATGCTATGAGGTGGGATACTGATTAGCCAAGCTAATTTAGGAACAGAACAAATGTGAGAAGCAGCAGTGATATTAGTTCAATCAGATATTTGATTGCGCTTCCAGAAATAATTTAATTGCAGAGCTCAAAACTATGCTTTGCCCATTAGAGTTCTACCTGATTGGTATTTTGTTAAATCTTGATACTAAAGAAACTTCCAAGCCCATATTTAATGTGAAAGCACACACAGTAATATTGGCTTTTTGCTTACTATTTAGATTTATTACATCTCAATCAATATAAATTGTTACTCTTACTTAACAAATCATAGTTGCACTCATGTTCTAAACAGACTTTTGTGTCTGCCCATTTGAGCCCAACTGCAATTTATTACTGCATGTTGTTAGTCCTGTTTGACATTGTAAGCATTTTTCCAGCATACAGGATTCAGGCCCTGGCTCTATGAGATTTGCTTTTTATTTAAAGCCAAGAAATTGGTAAATAAATTCTAATACTGCCTGGAACTTCCCAATCTTATGGATCACAATTCTCTACTCTTGGTTACTGGAACACATTACCATTTATGGAAGATATGCACATATTTCAATGTCCATAAATCATATGCAAACATCTGTTCTTTAGATCAGTAGATGGAGTATGGTAACTGGTTCTTACATTAATAGCCATTAGTAATGCTCACCTATTGATGTTATACTTTAATATTCTAGCAAATATTTAAGTAATTTAACTTTTCAAGCAATATTAATCAAAGCAGTAGAAATTGCAAGCATAGTCTGGCATGGAATTCTGTGTAGCCTGTACCTGAAAAATGCCAAGTGAAAGTTGTAAGATAGCGGGTAAATATTCACAGCAACATGATCAACCAGGCTAAAACACAAAAGGTTCTGTTAGTAATTCTCTCTGCACTCATTGCTGCCTTTGAAGAGAATTTCTTTCCCTCCCCCTTCATGTGATAGCTTTAAACAGGCACCCTTTTCTCATTTGATGAATCTGGCCTGTGTGTAGTGGTCTACATTGTTGTCTTAGTAGTATGATCTATTTCCCACGTGACCCTGCAGGCAAGGTTCTACGGCCAATAACTGTGAAGCTGTGCTCTGAAAACATATGGTGTGTGTGGAAACCAGGGCTGTGTATGAGGCAAAATGTAAGAGGTGGGAAAGACAATATTGTAGGATAGGATGGGCACAGGATGGAAAGGCAGAGGATAAGAGTTTTCTTATTCAGTCTTCAATCTCAGTGTTTGGATTTTTGGATCAAGTGATTGCAGTTGTAAAGAGAAGAATCTTCAGCAACTATCCTGTCTAGCATTTATGTCATGGCTTTATTTGGTTGTCATATATACTGTGGATACATTGGTTGTTTTTCAGCATCTCCTTTGTGTTTGTATTCTTTTTCAGGAGCAGAGACTTGATACTTTGAGACTAGCGATATAAATGTCAGCATAGTTGAATTTTCATAGGAAGAACATATGTGTAAAAATGGAGAGCAAAAACATTCCATATTTTTAAAAGTTGAGTCCTACTGTAGTCAGCCATAGGACGGGAGACTGTAGTTCTTTTTCTGCAGAAAGTGGACTTGCTTTTAAGTTACCTACTAATCTTGGTATAAAACCTCCCAAACTGCTTCAGAATGAATTCAGAACCCCCTTTTAGGATTTCTGGAGTACTTCAGTACCATTTACTTGTTGTCTTTTATGTTCTTTACAGTGAACGTGTTAAATAGATACATATAGAAAAACATGCTTGTGGGCTTTCAAAACCTTTTGTTTAACTTTTGCTCCTGATTTTTTTAAATAATTTTCTCTAAAAGGTGCTGTGAGTGTAGGTTTGCCTAAGAGATCCTCCATGTGTCCATCTCGCTGCCGGCGCAGAGTGCGATAGCAATTGGCTTTAATATCCCATCCCCCTCTTCATTCTGTGTTGCCATAGGAATGGTCTGCGAGAATTACCAAATTCAAATAATTATAGTCCTGCTGCACAAAGTTTCTTTTGATCAAGAGCGAGTCATTTGAACCCTGATGTTTAGTGGGTAATACTTACAGCCTCATAAAAGTGTAGTGATGGCTGATATCTCATAGTGCTTTGAACATGTGAAGTGCTATATAAACAATATAGGGCTATTGCACACAACTCAAGCTATTAGCATTTGAGGCACAGTGCCCCAGGCCCTCAGAGGGGAAGTCACATCTTCACTGGAAAAGAGGCACCTTTTTGAGTTTTGTCTGCTTCCAGATTAGGTAGCAGGAGCTCTCGAGGTAGAGATATGAAAGGCTTGTTTTTTCAAATACTGTGTCTACTACTCTGCACTGGATTCTAACAATTAGAACTGTTATTCTAAAAATGTGTGGATGGTAAATAATTGCCTGGTTGCATTATTTCCTTTGCTGTAATTGTATTTTGGCGTCTCTGCTTTTTTTTTTGCTTTGTGAAAATTCTGTATGCTAATCTATTTCTTACTAACAGCCTCGGTATTCTTCATGTATAATTTGAAACAGATGAGAAATTATGCTTCATCTTTGTTCCCAAAAACATCACCTTACTTACAGAATTTAGAGCACAAATGCAATTTGAGAATGTGTAGAACACCCCATGAGTGTTGGTGTGTACATGCTGGTGAAGCCTTGTTCTTAAGGTAGCAATTCAAGTTAAGAAAATAGGCCAGGGGTATTTGCCACACAGCTGATGTTAGAGCCTGTTAGAGCTGAAGGTACTGCTCAGATGGGAACAGTTTTCCCAGGATTGATGGAATTGCCTGATTTGCTTTGTTTTGACTCTTTTCCACATTTTGCACACTCTGATAAACAAGGGCTTCTGCTTAGGACCCACAAGAGGCACCTCTCCTTGCAATCACTACAACACAAACTCTGGGGCAGTAGAAAGGCTCATGACTATCTTCAGGGAGAAGAGGAAATTCCTTGAAGTCTTTTTATGCCAGTCATTGCTCCAGTTTAAAAACAAAGCAATTCTTGGTCCAGAGTTGGCAAAACATTCTTT